CTCGCCCGCGGCAGCGAGTCGCAGAAGATGCAGTGGAGTCGGTGTTTTTTTTTTCCGAACGCACTGAGCGCCGGTTTACACCATCGATCGGACTGGGCCCGGCTACCTTGGTTCTGCTTGGGCGGCCCACGGCCCACGGCCGCCGGGCATCCGAGTCACGCACCACGCTGTGCTCCTCCGTCGAACCACGTCACGCGTCCTACGTGCCTCCCTCCCATTGGCCGGCGCCGCCACGCCCCGTCACGCGTCCCGTGCCCTCCGATCACGCGCCCCACGCGCGAACCGACGGCCCGGATCTCGCCCGCCATCGCTTCAAGTCTGCAGCCACTGACCGAGCTGCAGAGGAAGAAGAGGAAGAGGAAGCAATTTCCATCGGAGATGGCGAGAGGAAGCGCTGCCCTGGTGGTCGCCGTGGCCCTGGCGGCCGTGCTTATCCTCGTCGCGCCCGCGGCGGAGGCGGCGGGGCAGAAGAAGCCGGCGACGGCGGCGAGGCGGGAGGACGTGCCGTACATCCGGTGCCAGGTCTGCGAGCGGATCGCGCGGGAGATCTCCGCGCAGGTCGCCGCCAAGCAGCAGGCGCTGCCGCCCTCCAAGAAGGTACTGTGGTTCTGCTGCTCATCTGGTTAGGCGGGCGAATTCTGAGCGGGTTGATGAAGTAGAGAGTTTTTATGTGTGTGGGATTTTAGGTGCCGGAGATCGAGATCATCGACATCGCGGAGAATGTGTGCAACCTGAAGAAGCAGGAGGCGGACTGGATGCTCCGGATCGACATCGTCGAGAAAGGCGACAGGCTCGAGGTAAATTGTCTGGAACTGAGGCGGATCCGTGCGTTTTTAAATCTGCAGAGACAGAAATTGCTCTGCTCTGGTGTGAGCTTATGAACTGCTTACTGCTGGTGCGCTTCGAGGCTCCAGAAGATTTTGAATCTGCTTCACCGCCACCAAGTGCAATGCTAAATGCTAAGCAAGTAACGCGACTCAGATAGTATACTTTGTTTACCGATTGGCCATAATTGGAATGCAACCAAACAGTGATAAAGCGGATTGATAATCTAAAATACAGTATGAATTGGATGGTTTTATTTAGGAAGTTCCTTATGCTTTAACTCGGCGAAGAAATCGACTATTTTGGTTCATAATTTATAGCTACATGTAGCTAGTTCTGTACTTCTGTTTCCTCCTAGAAATACCATTGAATTTTTTTTATCAAATAGTAGTCATCTTCAGTAGGTGTGATACTTCACAAACCTAGCATCTCAGTCACATTCTAATGCATCAAAGTATTTTGCAGCTTGTGGATCAAGATGAGGAAGGGCACTGTAACTCGGAATGCAAGACCATTGAGCGTGCATGCCAGGAGGTGATGATCGATTCATATCTAGTAGTTTATTATGCATTTACACGATTGTACTGTCTAGAACTTATTAACATACTAAGACCTTTGGTTTCTTTAGAGTGATAATCTTTCATGAATCCAACATCACAGTTGAGTAAATGATATTGTGATGGTACTCAGCTGAAGTTAATCATGGTCTATCTATGTAAATTGTTAAAATGAGTTGAGTTTATCTTTCCACAATATTGAATAGTTACGAAGCGATAAGGCAGCACCATTATTTCTATTGAACTGTGTGAAGTTGTGCTCAACTGAACAAAACTCTTTTTAGGTGATGGGTTATGCTGATACCGATGTTGCTGAGTTTGTCTACACAAATAAGCCTTCAGTTGATCAGCTGATACAGTTTGTCTGCAAAGATATTACCAAAGCATGTGCTGCCGATCCACCACCAGTTCCAAAAGTAAGCATTCCCAGTCTTGTTTCTGCCCTCTTAATTAGGTAATTATCTATGAATATTGGGCAAGTAGGCAGGTGTTACCACTTCAGTGTGAAATAAATGTCAAATTAGGGTCTTCTTCCCTGCCACCGAGTACACGTCGTAGTGGTGATCAATCATGGAATTTGCAAGATGGCTTTATTTTGGGTACTTGCATCGAGGAAATAGGGGCAAATTTTGATGTAGGTCAAATATGGACATGGATACTATACTAGTCTTAGTTGAGCTTTATCTGTTATCTTTCCAGGTCTTTAGTTCACCATAGCTTTACTAGGCAGGTTTACTTCCATGTTGCCTAACTTAACTCAGAGATAGTTAAAATATGGTATTAAGAGCAGAACAGTAGACCACACAGAAATGCATCTGATATGTGTGCTGTGTAGTAAATACATTTTTTTTTTGAATTATTACGTGCTGATGCGCATTGATACAAATTCCATATAAGATAGACTAAAAGAAACCTTTCCTAGAAGTAAAAGGAGTTTATAGAACCTTCGGCCATGTAAGCAGATACTTCATAAAACCAGGGCATGATTTAGGACCTGATTATAATGCATGTCTGAATGCTCTGCTTGTAAGTTGTAACAGTTAACTGTCTGCTGCTAATAAGTATCTGGATGTGAGGCTCTGGGGACAGATATTTTCTTGCATTTCTGACACACAGCAATATTAAAATTACAGGATCGAATCCCCGGAGAACCCTTTGCTGCAAAGCCATCAAAAGACGCCGAAATGGAGAAAATAATGAGATCAATGGAGGTAGGTTATTTTGGCTGTGATATGTGTAACTATATCCAAGAATATACGCAGATAGAAATCGGAAATTCAATTTGGCTCCCGGGAGCACATGCTCCGGGGCCCAAAAATGATTTTTTAAATGTCAAAAAAATCAAGACAAAACTATTATGTGATCTTAGTCACATACAAATGCTACCTGCAAATTTTGAGGCAAAAAGGTTAAGCATTTTGGCCTGTGCAAAAAAACAAATTGAAGACCAAATGTCACTCTAATCTTTTTCCCCGACGAAACACTGTTGCTCTGTTTCGCATGAAATTTGTCAAGCATGCTTGTGACACTATATTGAACATCTACAAAAAAAAAATCAGAATTTTTACTTTTTTTTAATTTACTGTCCCGAAATTACACTATTGTTGATGACAGGGCATGCCGGGAGCCCCAAACATGAAGATGTACTCCAGAGACGATCTGATGAAGAATAACTTTGGCGTTGAAGGTGATGAGGATGATGAAGATGACGATGAAGACGAGGATAGCTTACCCAAGAACTTGGTATGTTACCATAGGTTACCCAAATATGTTACTAGGGCTGGCTCCTCACAGTTCTCCGTAACTTATCAGCGAAATATGTTTATTTGAACTGCTGAGGGTTAAATCGTATTTCCTCTGCTCCTTCCAGGGAAACATTCTGAAAAACAAGGGTCCGCAAAAGAAAGACCTGAAACAACAGGTGGTGAAACAGATCAAGGATACCGGCAAGAAACTGAAAGGGCATGTGAGCAAGGTGTCCAAGGCGGTGAAGAGTTGGTGGAAGGGGAAGAAGAAGCCTGCAAAATCCAGCAAAAGCGAGCTATGAAGAACGCGGCAGCATCCTCAAATCGGTTTGTCGCATCAGCCTTCTGTCCAGAACTTGGGTAGAGAACAGCTGCATAAACGTGCACGATGATTTTAAGGGACTTTTAGTGTACACTAGTAGAAAGAAGTGGACTCCACTCTGGAGCTCGATGGGAGGTAGTTTTACAAGGTTGCTCAGGCTCCAGTTGATTTTTCGTGTATGTGGTACTCTGTAAATGAGCGGACATACTCTGTAACTAGTGGCCATACTATTTTTCGTGCACTAAGTTTTTTCTTTTTGAGAAACATTCAGGGCATCTCCAACAAAAACCTCTCGCATCCGTCCACGGACAGGTGGGATCGGCCCGCGGACACGGATGCGGGAGGCAGCCACCGAATGCTAGCCGCATACAATTTTACAACAACTCAAACCGACCAGACGAAATTCAAGCAAACACGACCGGATTTTATATAAACATGACGGATTTCATATAAAAAAGCTGGAATTTTATATAAACGTGATGGATTTCAGTACTTTTACATCGGACTTGTCTGGCTTTGAAGGTATAATTAATACCTAAACTAAATTGCCGCCCGCGGATCCCTGGAGGTATATGCTTTAGCGCAAAGGACGGCTAGCTTCCCCACTATTCATCGAGTAAAACCCCAGGCTGATGCTTCAGCGGGAGGGGAAGGCGGCTCCTCCGCTTTCATGAAGCCCATGTGGGATCGACGGAGGTCCTCGAAAGAGAAGAACCAGGCAAGACACCGATTGTGTACGCCGGCGTCGCCGAGGCGGTGGCCTTCATGGGATCCAAGCACTGGCGGACTCCCGTGTTCTACTTCTCCTCGATGATGGTGACGGACGCGGAGGCACCGGTCACTGACTCATCGCTCTCCGCGCACCCGGCTTCTGTCTCTGCTTGCATGACGCGGGCACAGGCACGGGAGGTGCGGCCGCATGCACGAGAGGCGCGGGCGTCGACGGCAGCGATGACGCCCATGAT